ATAAACCATGTGCTGCAAACAAACGTGTTATAACCGAAAAGTATATCAATTAAAAATTAACCGGTTTTATGAATTTTCAACTTAAACGAGTTACTATCAAAAACCGGTTAGGTAATTTCCAAGCATATATGTAGTTAAAAAACCGAATTTAAAAATAACTTTTATTTATATATTATTCAACTGTATCACACAAATTTTACTACACACAATACTAATTATCACAATAATAAATACCACAAAACATCAAATATCACATTTAGAGAGGTAGCAATAAACTCATCAAAAATTTACTTACTCGACATAGCTTTCTTAAAACAACGCTCTGTTTCGATATTCTTTAATTAATAATTCTGAATTCTTAAAGCGCAAGCAACGTTTGAAACTTTCAATTTCTCGCGAGTGGAATGCTGAAGATGTAGCGGCACAAAGCAAGGTTCCCATCGAGCGATCGTGGTGGCATCGCAGAGGAACAAGACCACGCGTTGAATTCCTAACCATATGCTCCCGAATCAACGATCGCCAGCGTACTAAACCAGTTTTTTTTCTTCGAGAGACGCGTAGAGATACGAGACTCACCAGGACCGCGCTCCGGAAGTACCATAACCTGCCTTTTCGGAGTATTTCTTCGTACCATCCTTACAACGCGTCACTTTTCCCGTTAGAGACTACCTGCGGGACGGCAAACACACACGCGACTGTTCCAACAACGATCCAGGACCCGGCTACGCGAGTGGAGAAGCTCATTGACAGAGGGCGAAAGAGAGGGGGCCGAAGAGCGGAGAGAAAGAAAAAAGAGACAGAGAGAGAGAGAGGAGGAAAGATGGAAAGAGAGAAAGATATAAAACGCGGAACAGTGACGTGACTACAGTTTTTGAACTCCTACACTTCTCCAAAATAAAAGTGTAGAATTCAACGCTATGCCTATACATATATTTGCATACAATCAAATGAAATATTTTATTTAAATTGAACAACAGTTATGAGCACTTTATTATTAATTACGACCAATTGCTGACAATCGAAGATGAAAATATATGTAGGATAAATACGAGCGTCACGCATCGTTCAATATTTTATGACAATTTCACGAAAACAATTAAATGTGTAGAATAGCGTGCTATTGATATTTTTTATTTCATTTATTTATTAACATCTACTGTCAATGCTTCATTCAACAATGCATTAAGCAAATATTAATCTTTTTTATATGTTTATTTTACATATTTTTATATATGATTCTGTGCAAATCTTAAAATCACAATCATGTGTTTTGTAACACTTATATTTTATTAATATTTACGTTTTATATATATTTTTATATTTTCTACATATTTAAACAAAAAGTGTAAAAATTTTTGCTTTTACTTTTAACGTCCTAAAAGTTGCAATAATCATTAAACTTTGCCAACTACGGGAGAAAAAATAAATTATTAAAAAGCTAAATCACATTCAAAGAATTGCAAAGGAGAAAAATAAATCAGAATTAATGTATCACGCGACGATTGCAATATTCGAGTGCGGTGCATTGAACGCGCGGAAGTGACAGAATGATACACTGCCGCATTGCGGACCTTCGAAGCGGACCCGAGCGGACCCGAGCGGCTCTCCTGCAAGGTCTTCTTTGCAATTTCCTGGGGCCTGAGGCAATCGCCTTGTTTACTCATACTAGAAAATAGAAATGCCGACACCGATTGCCGACACCGATTACCGGAAGATTAAATGAGCAGAGTTATGCATATGCCACGACCGCGATAAGAAGTGAAAACGGTCGTACTCGTGACCGTCGTACTCGTTCGTGGTACAAAATTATGCATTACAGACGACGCGACGTATATGGCGCCGCTTTATCGATTTGTACGTACAAGTTCCTCCCTCGGATTTATCCATACTGTGCGTCTGCTGTGCGTCATCCAGCGGAAAGAAAAAGACGGGGCTAAGCTTCTATTTTAGCGGCTGCGTTCATGCCATTAACTCGTTTTACAAGTGGAATCGAATACACACGCAGATTATAGAAAAAGTGCTAATCATTCCAAAGCATCATCTTCGATAATAGCGGCATATAAATCGATAATAATTATACTCATTAAAATTTTATAAGTTTGAATTGAATGATATTTAAAACTGCTATTTTACTGCAAATAGATTATGACGATAGAAACGAGACATCATGTATATTTTTCCTTTATATTGCGGGAAATAAATTGATTCTTTTGCATATCATCGTTCGCGTTCGATAGCACAGATTGATGAAATATGTCGTTTTCTTTTAGTTACTTTATATACGTCTGTGAATAAGTGTATAATTAAATCTACACGCGTATCTGTTATTATATATAACAATTAAACTTACACAAATACAATAAAATGTATATAATTGATTTATTCATTTCATTCTTGATTTTTTTTCTATATATTAATTTTTTATATAATATTTGTAACAAATTATTTGATTTATGTCTTCGAACTCAATTTATTTTTCACTTCATTAAAAATTTAAAAATAGAAAATATACTGGAATAATCTTATATTTTAAGAAAATTACCTTTCTCCAAATTATTAATAATCCTATCTAATAATAAATGTAATTAGGACATAGTCGACTACCGAATGATATCTTGGTGACATAATACATATTCGCTGGAGTCTATCCAATTCACATATACTATCGCCTGTACTTGAGACTCAAATGATGAATAATGCAAAAAAAATTACAAGAAAGATACATAGTTGCACACGACATAGTCTTTGGACTGACTTTAGTTTAGACTTTAGTACGTGTGCATAATAAAGTAAAACTGTTATCGCTCGATATTACCGCGCTGCAAATATACTCGGAATAGATCGAATAACAGTACATTTGCATTTTAAAAAAAGGATATGTTGCAGCATGATATAAATGCTCGAAAAAAAATTTTTTTATAAATCGCACTTCCGCGAGTTGTATTTTTTAATTCTTTAATGCAAGAAAAAAAATAATTTGTCCGCATAGTTTCTTGGCGCGATTACATACGTAAAAGAAAATTGAAAAAGAAACTCGTCGGATTGATTGTGTTCTCTTTCGCATATATTATGATGCTCAAGTCGCGATGCTAAAGAAATATCAACGAAATATCGACGATATTCGAGCTATCTATTATTGGATTCTTCTCAGGGTCGTAAACGTTAGTCTGGTCTATTAATCGCTCAACTTGCTTGTAATACTAGATAATTGTCTTCTTACGCCAATTACCGATGACCGGGTTTGTGTCAAAGTGTCTCGTCGAAACGTTGATGGAATGAGATGAAAAATATGCAACGAAATACAGATTTCGAACGTTATAAAACACATTCGGCCGACACAAAATTTAGAATTCGGACACTAACACATAAAAGAGAGTGGATATAAAAAACAAGTGATGAATAAAATAAATCTGCTGTCAGATACCGTCTAACACATAATACGCATACATTTAGACACAAAGTGCCTTAACTATTTTAATCCCGTCTCCCTTTCTGTTGATCAATTATTTCTTCCAATTTAACATGTTTCGATGTTTTACGTTTCGGTGATATTGAATTTTATTTATTGCTCACATTCCACTTTCTCTCGTATTTATTGCTACGGAGTTTATAGCCCCTTATCTTGCATCCGCGCGCAATCGCGAATCTCAGCGAATGCCAGTGCGACACACACATGTGCCAAATTATCACCTCGCTCTCGCAAATCACCGTTACTCACGTTCCTCCTTCGTGATAGCCATTTTCCCTATGAGCATCCGGCCGCGCTCGATCGGCGATTTGTTCACACGGAAAGACGAGTCTTTAATCCCCCGTCCGAATTCGACCGGTCGACTGGAAGCGAAACACTCCAGGACACCGACAGGAAGGACCGAGAGTGATGAGCGAACGTCTCGGCTTCGACGACTTCGTGCCGAGGAAACTGCTGTCGGCTCGGAAACCCCGACGAGGGTCTTCGGAAAACTGGCACTGGACCAACGAGAGGCTGGCTGGACGTTATATTTAGTAGCGTCCGAGAAAACGGCGGACGACGGACGGGCAGAAGTGCCTCCGATGCGAAATCGCGATCGTGCCGACTAATTATTGCACCTCAAACCGCGCGTCCCTTCACACAACGCCCACTCGACCCTTTATCCGCGAGTCAAGTCGCGCGATAAGGGTCCTTGTCTGCCAGGAGTGCCGCTTCCCACCGCAATTGTACACGGAATTTCCTCTGCCATGCTAATTTGCGTAATTTATCTATCTCCTTAATTAGTATATTGTAAAATCTGCTCCAGTTTCTTCTAATAATAAATTTGTTTTCACGAGAAATCAAGTTATTTTAATTCGTTAAACAGAATTGTGCTCATTTGTACGTGGAAAAACTCTGAAGGCTGGACGATATTATTTAAACCACTTTGAATCGAGGACTGTAACGCGAGTTTGACGTTAATTTCAATACTGAATAAATATAAACTTATAATGTATAATAGCGGCTATTTTTGTTCGAATCGATCGACGTCACATTGCTGTGCTACAAATACAGATAAACATGAAAGAAGTAGGTTTTGTCGTATGTTTTCTTACCTTTCGGATTCAGTCTTTCAGGGTTAAACCATGCGTCTGTAAACACAATAGAATCATAGTACATTAGTATTAAATTCCATTGCCACAGCATGTAGAATTGTTACGCATTGTGATTCAGATGCAAAATCTATTCAGTAACAGAATTGTAATTTTAAAAATAAACTTTTGCAAACAAATTTTTGCTGATTTTTTTACGTAAATATCAATTTTTTTAAGGCTGCATTTATTAATAAAATCTATAGCAAGTGTTCATATTAATAATATAATGTTATTCTTTCACCTTTACATCCTTTACCTTTAAAATTATTATTTAAAAGGTTTCACACCTGAACACTTCGCCCGCGCGCGATTATTATAATACCAAGAACGTTAACAGATAGTTGAAGTTACGGCAATTTTAATAAAGCATTAATAAAAGATCAGTATAACGGAAAAATTAATTGTACGTATTAATTGTACGTATTTACAGAAACGAGCGTTACAAATCAGTTCTATTAACGTTCTTGGAATAACTGTAAGAAAAAAAAGATTAATGATAGATGTAGAACGCAATATCGAGCGTAAAGAAAATTCTTCTTTCTCCGCAAGCGCATCCAACATTATTATTCATAAAAACAGCTTATTAAGTTCACTGCAAAGGAAAGATTTATTTTATTTTACAAAAGACACGTATATACAAATCGGACAAATGCATCCGACAAATAATTAAACATCGAAAAAATGTATGAGATATCATGACTTATCCCACATCACATGTTCCTCTTTAAACTTATTTTTCAGGTTGTACTTTTATTAATAATTAAATCACAAATCGATAAGAACGAGGGATCGCTAGCTCACGCTTCGCCGGAAACATAGTTTGCAACGCTTTAAAGACTCGAGGCTGTAGTGATTCGAAAAGGACAAATGTTGTCTATTCGTCAAATGTCGCGCTTATTAAGCATTTTGATGAAAACAAGTTCTAAATAATCGTTAAATTGTATACAAAAACATCGTTTTATACTTCGCCAACTAATTAATTTACGGTTTTAACGTCAATATTTGTCGCAATTCGAATTTATCATGTAATTTCACGAAAAATTGAAGAAGACACTGTTGCGTAGATATTCTTGTATTGAACACGAGCTATTTATCCAACGGATCATCGTAACTCTGCGCATAAAAAGCATTCTCCTTCACTCTATGTCATAAAGGAACGAACAAAAGGCAAACACAAAGCAAGTACACGAGACAAGAGGGAGCCAAAGAAGTCAATACCCTTTTATTTAGCACGTAGCCATCACGTTCTCTGTGTCAAGTGTACACAAATACATGGGCGTCTTATCGCTCTCGTGTGCAGTTTTTTCCTTGAATTGTTTAGAATAATAATGACTCAACTCAGAAATGCGCAATAAATCTTGAAATGCCTTAAATTTCTATCGCTATTTGTGCGACCTATAAAATTTGTAAAATTGGAGCGAGCTTTATAATACGAGAAAAGCGCGAGAGACATGTTACGAGAGCATCATTTGCACAGCCACGAATGTTCATTAATGTCCTATTATAAATTTTATAATAGACAATATCGAACAAACGTAAGAAAGAGAATTTATCACCCCAGTAAGTAATTTTGCAGCATTATTAACCTTAATCAACAAGTTAGAAGGGTACCCTAGTATTGCAGCGAGCATTAATGCACTAAGTGGACAGATAAAGGTTCGCCCGTGACAGCGCGAAAGCGCGCGAAATATACGGCGCCTCTGATAAAAGAGGAAATGTCGACGCAGTTTCCTTCAATGCCATACGCTTTCGTTCACGTATGCGTACTGCGCGAGAAATAATCTCGGACTATGTCTGTAAATTACAGACACACGCGCGCGAAATTGCAGAGCCAGCTTGTAAGGCAATCGATCGTGTATGCACTGCGCAATATGACTCCTGGAAATGCGATGCGTTACATTTTTTATCTTTGATTTTCGAATCGCGCAAATTGTTTATTCATGATCGACGAAAAGACAGTTCTTAAGACACACACGCGCAAAGACTCAATTATCATTCGTAACAATAGGCTAAGCGATAAAGAGTTTATGAGTCGCCTGTCGCTATTTATATCCCAAGTATCACGACGCAACGAAATACACTGTTTCAATAAAACACTTATTTATTACAAAATATTGATTATATTCCTTTTTTTTTTTTTTACTTCTTAAAATGATTGTTCGGAATGAATTGCATACGGAATTTCATACAAAAGTTACTTCATTAAAATAGATAAGTTATGTACAAAGTATCAGTAGTATCAGCATGTGATAAATAAGATAATGTGCTTCTTATGCTAAAAATAAATAAATTTTTCCTAATAAGGAATGCCAATGTTATCGATCAGCATTTCCCTTATATGCAACAGATAAGATAAATATTACAAAAATAATACTGGTTTGGCAGAAATTAATAACAAAATTATCATTATCTCACTGACAAGCACCATACATTATTTCGGATTATTGATAATTTAGTTGTGCAATGAATGGTACTCTTAGCAACCGATTGCCACCGCCATGCTCCGGAGCTGATGTGTTTCTTGGGATAAAGTTCGAGAGTCGATTGTATGGTCACGGCTGGATCGCGTGGCGTTATGCAATCCAAGGTCGTAATAATAATTGTTACAGGTTGCAAATTCTGTAGTGCAATTTATTGCGAAAGCAAAATTTCACCTGTTCGTCAAACCGACGCGAGTGAATCATAAATAAGTGAATCATAAATTATACCGGTTCTCTATTTATATCAACATACTATAAAGTGTTGAAAAATTGAGATTTATTAATGAATAAATTGCGATCTTCAATGTTTCGCGAATATCCTTTGCGACCGGACGCAAAATAAGGTTTCGAGAAGCTCTTATGTGGAGCACTGCGATGTGTTCATGTTAATCAATAACAGCACAGATATGCAAATGAGATGTTGAGATATATTGGTGCAATTGTTACTTGCAGGTAGCCGACTGATCGATAACCCAGTTTCGATCGACAATTCTTCAATACCGGGCAGGAGCACCTGCGCAGGGCGAAGCCCGGGTCACCGACATGGAAGCGCCAACGAGGATTAATTGAGATCGTCCGGAATTGAATTTTGCTCGCAATAGACGAAACGTCGCGTTGTGGAAATCCGCTGCGCCACGCGAATTAACAATCTAAGGACGCTTACTCCGAAACGGTGCCCCACAATCGATCGAATCGAATGGTTCGCTCAGATCGGAGCAACGAGATAGCAACGAGAAAGAAGTGTAATCCAATTTTCGAATTATCCTACGCCATCGTCCAATCTCAGCCGCGATCAAAGCGAGAATTTCCGAGGGCGAGTTCCGAGTATCGAGCGCGTGCGGAGATAGAAGCGATCGGGGTGGAGAAAACTGAAAAAAAAGCCCCGTTTTTCCTAAGAGAGCGAGGGGGGGCCGAATCGAGCGAAGGAAGTGCCGACGATAAACTTACGAGGATCTAAGATATTCCAGAAGCACGGGCTGCCGTTAGCCAAGTCGCTGGATCGCTTGCAGACCTGGTTACTCTCGTCGACGTCCTTACCGGGGAACGTCGCTGCATCCAAGTCCGCCATCCTTACGCGCACTATCCCGGATTACCTCACGCGACGCGCACTTTCCTCACTACTCGTCGTCGACCGTGTGCCGCGTCGAATACGTGTATGCTCCGTGTGTGGACCTCGCTTGGTATCACGTCAGATCGGAGTGTCCTCTCTTGTGCGTGTCGACGCGCCTGGCGAACGCTCGCGATAGCAATGGCGTATTTTGTCACACACGCGCGCGCGCGACGCCGAGTGACGCACTTCGTCGTCGACGACGACGACAACGACGATGGCGATGACGACGAGGGTGTAAGCCCCTTTCAGCGGGGATGGAGAGCGATTCGCGCGGAAAAGGGCGTTCGGCGCGATTGGCGCGTTTAACGAGACGCTCCGGTGTCGCCGATAGAAAGAGAAATAACCGCGGAGGACTCAAAGCTCGTGCACAGCGAGATGAGGACTGAGGCTTGTTATCGACCCACCGGAGGTCTCTCGGAGCCCCCTCTTCGCTGTGCCCTCCTCCTCCCGCCCCCTCAGGCTCATCGCCATATTGCTCGGAACCTCGTACCTACCTAGCGACTAGCGAAAGATTACGTGAGGTAGCATTTGCGGTAGCTATGAGATTGACCGTTCCGAAGAACGCGTCGCAAAGTGATGCTTAAGAAAGATTTTGCAGATAAAACGCTATAATTGTTTAATTACTGCCCGAAAACTGATCGAGCACGATGTAAATATCGCCAAAAGAAGCAAAGAAAATCAATCTTTTCGTCTTTTAATTGATAAATAAGTTGTATCCATTTGAATCTGACACTACGAAATGTTATAAAACATCTTGACTGTTAATCATTTTCAAGCACATTCATCATGAAACAATCCAAAATGTTTCAAAATTTGTCCTCTGTGATATGTAGAGCTTTATAAATACACAAAAGTCAGAACAGACGCCAAATTATCAGAAGCAAAAATTTCAAGCAAAAATTATTACAATTATCTGTGAAAAATATTTTTCGTCACTTTAATAAAAGGAAATAAGAAATATTAAATAGATTATTTTGACATGTAGAATTTTGAAATCAAGAAATATAATTTTACTAAATATGACAATGTATAAAAATTGTTTTTTAAATATTAATTTGCTGTTTTATATATAACATTTTATGCACAAATTTATACTCGGAATCAGCATAAATTTCAAAGAAAAAAACTTTCAAAATTTAAATGTTTGAATCGGTGCCATTTAATTATAAGATATTATATCTCTCAACTGTTGCTATAGCGTTTGCTCTTTGCTGCAAACTGTTCGATACCAATAATACGAAGATATAGATATTGAAAAATTGTTGGTTCGATACACCCATTAATTCCAAACCTCTACTATGTTGAACTTGACAGTTGCTCTGACCTAGAAATGTCGCTCTGTTCGTTCTAGTTTCATAGTTGTATTTTCTATTGCTCAGGTTTATGTGCAATTATATAGATACATATTTGAAGATAAATTCTTTTTCTAGATAAATTTTGAAAAAAAATTAGGTCTTATCCTAGATACCATTGTATGCCGTGAACGTAACGCGTCGAGGCGAAACGAAGCAGCGAGCCTCGTCTGATTATTCGTTATAGGTGCATAATCGGCGAAGCGCGGGCGCGCCTCATGCACTCGCTGCACTCGCTGCAAGAGTGCCGCATAGCAGTTGCTCACGCAACAGCTACCGTTCAACAGTAATATATTTGAAGAAATCGTAAGCCTTGCTATACATTCTACAAACAACTTATTATTCAAGAACAACTTTTAAAACAAAGAAAAAAAATTGTTAAAAGTTTCCAAAAATTAAAATAAAATAAAATGTCTTCAAGTATCACAGTCTTTCTTATTTATTAATCTCAGATCAGATTGAATCGTAAAAGCGTATCAAATCGTTCATCAATTCGTGATTATTCGTATTTTGATGCCGATTAAGCATGACTCCGTCACACACATCTTACGCAATTAAATATCTGACTTGTGAACAGATCGTGTCTGTAAAAACATGAATCATTCTTCCATTTTTTTCTCGTAACACAAGTATGATCGGGCAAGAATCATATTGTTGCGTAGTTGTTGAGTATTTTTTATAGTGCGTTTAATTTTAAATCACATATTACACTGCTATGTATATTTGCACATTCTTCTAAGACTTGTCATGGAATGATAATAGACTCTTATATTTATCTATAGATCCATACGAACATCACTCAAATTATAAATGTTCAGATTTACTTTTAAAATAACTGCTTGCATGCACATATATTTTCCTATCGAAAATCGGACTTGAATCTCTTTGGTTCACTGTTTTATCTGATAGTAAGCCGTTTGATTTAAAAATGTATCAACTTGCGAACAACAATACGGAACGTGTTTCATTTGTAGATTGAACAGTACTGGTATATTCTTTGCATCGATGGCAAATTGAAGAATCGAGTGCAATATCGATTAGAAATTTCGAAAGTGGAAGAAGCAGAACGCTATGAATAAATGAACGACAGGGATGATTGCAAATATGTAGGTAGGGGCGACGCGCAATTCCGTAGACAACGAGGCGCCCACGCGAAACCACAATAAAAACTCCCCTTTACAGTTTTAACCCTGCCCTATCGCGCATTAAAGGTTCTCAATCGCAGAATTTTATCGTTGTGTCCGACATTTGAAGTGTAACTTTTTATCGATAGTCTATATTATTCTCGGTACACGGCAACATTATTCAAAAGGCTCGTAAAAGGACTATGATTATAATGTAAAAAATTTAATAATTATATCTTTACTTTTTATATAAGTCTATTCTTATTTTATTAAAATGTTATTCATTTTTAATTCCATAAACTTTTTAATTACAGATTTTTTTTAATGCCAATAATTAATTTTTGTAGCCTTCGACGTACGAGAAAATTCAGTTGTTGTACGGTTATTTGTTTTTCAACTGGAGAATTATATATTATTGATGTTTCTAAACACGCACAAAAGAGACATTTGATAATAATGCACTTTTGCCTAACAAACGTGCCAGAATTTCGGAAATTCTGGCAACAGCGCTGCGTTGTTCAAAATACCGCCAAACCAGTGATCTGCGCGAATAACAATCTTTGGCTGTTTCAGCAAGTCACAACGCCCACCTCTGTCTCAATGATTAAAAATAAAATGGCTCCATTTAGTTTAGCATTTTTGTTTAGCTTGAACTTCTCAGCTCCTCCTTTTTTAGATCGAAAAAATATATATAGTGCAATTTTAATATTTTAAAAATAATGCATATTATATGATGCATATTCGTCAGTCGAAAGTACGTGATGTATGGAATAGAGATGGATAAAACAAAACATAAAATAATTCGCTTTTTTAATCACATTCACAACTTGTATGTAATAAGGAATAATTAATATGTTTTTTGTTATCAATTAGCATGTGACTATACAAAGTGAATTTCAAGGCCTTTATGAGAACAGAATTGTCACATCTATATTTCAATCTGCCATTTATTCTAATGAAAATTCCGCGATCAAATCAAAGGAAAAATTTGGTGTAATGTTACAACTTTGAAAATATTATATTTTCAAAAGTTAGAAAAAAAATAAGGAAACAAAAATCATTCTTCTAACTGATATATCGTAATTTATCCTTATTTCAAGATTACGTCATCGCTGAAATTATTGCATGAAATTAGTAAAAGAATGACTCAACTATTCAAATTTTTCTAATCTAAAAAGATATACATAGTGCAGTTCTAATATTTCAAAAATAATGCATGTTACTTGTGATATACATATACATACGTATATGTTA